AAATGAGAGCGAGAGAGGCGAATAACAGAAACACACATGTCCTGGCAGTTCTACCTTTGTTGTGGGCCTTCAAACTTCGTACGCCATCGTAGAACTTGTCGGGGATCTGGTGTTGCACGGTGCAATGCAGGCGCAGAAAAAAAAATGAGTGTGTACAAGCAGCTGCAAACGAAGCAAGTGCGACTTGAAGTGAACCCCAACTGTGAATCCTAACACACACACACACACACACACACACACACACACACACACACACACACACACACACACACACACACACACACACACACACACACACACACACACACACACACACACACACACACACACACACAAATACACACACACACACAAATACACACACATACGCTGTCGTCAGCGGAGCTCACCTGCCCGCTTTCGTCCAGTGCTTGGAACACACCCACGCGCAACTCCGCCTGCAACGCGCCACGAAAACATACATCAATTGCGTGAGCACCACATCATCGAACACGCAGACGCAAGGGTAAGTCATGTGCGTGTGTTTGTGCAGTGATGTTCAACGGGTGTTAACAGTCAAGCGCCCCCCCCCCCACGTGCACGCATCCACCTTGATCTTCTGCAGCACGCCAGAAGCAGACAGCGTGTCTGCCACGGTGCGTTTGAGCTCGTCAAACGCGTCTGTCATCTTAGCTTGGCTGGTGGTTGCCTTGCTTGCTTGCTTGGCTGGTGGGTTGTAACGGCAACTGAATTCAGTTGTTAACATGTTTGGCTAGAAATTTAGTCCAAATCATTCATCAACCATCGTAGCACCTGTCCTTCCTTTGGCTGCTGTTTGTATTGTATCATTGGGTGTGTTGTTTGCGTGTTGTCCCTTCTTCCTCTTCCTCCCAAGAAGCTTCTTCCTTTCTTCTCTGCTCTGACCTCATCTTGACGTCAAGCACGGTCATTCCCAAAGGGGAATCAAAGTGTGAAGAACAAGAACACTACCAAGAAGCCGGCTTGTTGTGTTCACTTACCATCACAACAGAACCTGCAGAACATTGCCACTCACTGACCTCCTGACGGAGAGCAACAACCGAGGACTGCACAGACTCGACTCACAACCGAGCGACGACGATGAACGCAGGTGGCACCTCGCAGCTGCGGTGCATTTTGCTGGTGCTGGTGGCGGTGAGCTCGGCATGGCAAACCCTGGCAGCTGGCACGTGTGACAGCAATGCGCTACTGCAATGCGCTGTTCCCACGGCGTGTGAGGACCTGGACACCTTCCTGGCCTGCGCCACAGCAATCAACTGCCAGTCGGACCCGGCAGTGTCACAGGTGATTGCAGACCTGCGGGAATGCTTCAGCACTGCCGGCGGCGACAACGGAAATGGAGCGCCGCAGATGTGGACCGCAAACGGCACGCTGTACCTGCAGGCTGGCAACGACATTGTGTTCCAGACCAAAACGGCAAGCAGCAACAACAATGACCATCCCGTGAGCGTTACGGACATCAAGGGCGTTTTGTCAACACTGCCAACGCTGGCTTCGAAGGATGACGTGCAGCGCGTGAACGACACCGTGAGCGACGTGGAGGGCGCGCTGCGCACCGAAATCTCCACCACCAGCGAGGTGGTGACGGATGCGCTTGTGCCGCGATTCAGCTCCATGGAGGCCGCCATTGCCCGCTCTTTCGCTGCCATCAACGCGTCTCTCGCCGCCACGTGGTCGTCCCTGGATGGCGTCAACGCCAGCCTCACAGACAGCATCCAGGATGTGCAGCGGCATGTGAGCCGAGCCGCCGCGGAGGCCAGCATGGCCACCGGCGAGCTGAGCCAGGAGGTATCCACGCTCTTCGAGGGCGTGAATGGCGTTGTGGGCGAGCTTGCAGGCAAGGTTGTGGATTTGGAGGACACGACCCGCCAAGCAAACGACCATATCTCAACGCTGCTCTCAAACCAAGAAGTGTTTGAGGCTTTCCGCCAGGTGCGGGCGGCATGTGCTCTGTGCCTTGCCGTGCCGTGCTGTGCTGTGCTGTGCTGCGTGTGTGTGTGTGTGTGTGTGTATGTCTGTGTGTGTGTGTGTGTGAAAACACGCCACAGAAGCCTGCAATTCTCCGTTTGTCTCACAGGATTGATGTGATGGCTCTGTTGTTGGTGATACAGGCTGCCAGCCGTGGCTTGTCTGCCGATGCGCCTGCCACCACATGTCAGGAGGTCACATCGCGCAGTGATGGTGTCTTCTATTTCCAGAGTTCGACGGGCGGCACCTTCGAGGTCGACCTGCACTTGTGTGTGTGTGTGTGTGTGTGTGTGTGTGTGTGTGTGTGTGTGTGTGTGTGTGTGTGTGAGAGAGTGTGTGTGTGTGTGTGTGTGTGTGTGTGGCGCTCGCCTGTCGACTTTGTTGGACATTTTCGCTGGGCACAAGAACGCAGGGATACGCCAATGGTGTTGCAGCCTGATGTACATCCCCTGCCGCATTTCCCTTTCGTTTTCTTGCTTGCAGGCATTTTGCGATCTGACACGAGACGGTGGCAACTGGGCGAAAGTGCTGCAGTACCCTGGCCAAGACTTTTCGGGATGGAAAAGTGGCTCTGGTCAGAGAGAGAGTGTGTGTGTGTGTCAGTGTGTGCGTGTGTGTGTGTGTGTGTGTCAGTGTGTGTGTGTGTGTGTGTGTGTGTGTGTGTCAGTGTGTGTGTGTGCGTGTGAAATACCTGCGTGCTTCTTTTCCTGATTTGGTCCAGTGCAGCCGAGGCGAATGTGCCAATTCCTGTCGGTGCCTTGAACTGCGCTGAACCCCACCACCATCTACTCTCCGACAACCCCTCCACCTCCTTCTTGCAGACGGTTCTGTGGGCAACATTGCTGTTGGAGACCTCGTGTCGTCCTTCAGCAAGCTCTCAGACGCACAAATCAACAGCCTCAAGTCCTCAAGCTCCGAATTTCGCGTGTGGAAATTCGAAACCGCCTGCACGAACAACAACCTGTACATTGTGACCGGCACAAGCTACGATGACGCGCGCCTTGACCTCGGCCTCGCAAGGGATGGTGGTAAGCTGCTGTTCCTGCATAGCAGGCATGGCAGGCTTTGCAGCGCTGTGTATGTTGTAGGTGTGATGTGCATGAGTGTTGGTGGATGGTGGGTGTTGTGTTGTGTTGTCCCTGATAAACTGGATACATGCTGTTCAACTCTTTGCCACCCCTGATTGATCCGTGTGGACGCAACATGCACACTTTCAACCGCTACTTGTGACTGCTCCTGTGCGCTCGATGGCAGTGAATGTGTACTGTGTTGCTCGCACATTGGAGGAATGCGATGACAAGTGGAACAACGGGGAGCTGCGTCGTTACAACGGCAACGGCGACTTTTTCGCCTTTGACACCTACTACACCAACAACAACGACGAATCTTGCAACCGCTTCTTTATTGGCCACGTGGATCCTAGCAACCCATACACGTGCTACCCGAGTACAACCAATGCTCGCTGCGTGAGCGCCGGTACGATGCTTGTTTGCTTGGTGTGCTGGTTCGGTGGTTGTTGGCGTGCTGGTTGTGTTTGCTCTTTTGGTTGCCGTGCTGGTTTTGCTTGCAGGCAGCCTGCTTTGCAACTCCTTGCCCCGCATGCCAATATTCACGTGCTGCATTGTTGTCTGTCACATCACCCAATCACAACCCTGCAATCAGGTTCTTCGTGCCAGTGCGGTAGCGGATCGTCATACTCGCCACACAAAGGTACCCTGTGTCTAACCTGTTTGAATTATTTTTTTTGGCATCTCGAGTGCTTTGAGCTGATCTGCCAACGAGAGTCCCCTGCCGTAGCACTGCTGGCTGCGCGCAACGGTGTGCCACCGTCACAGATCCATTCCCTGCAATGTGATAACTGCTCATACATTTGTACGCATGGACATGCTGTTGTGTGAAATGCTGACTCAGCTTTCACACAACATACCCAACCACTTGCATGCATGCAATCTTACATCAACCTGCACGCATGCAAGATGGCTGCCACGTGTACTTGTTGTTCACCTGTCTCACTTGTTGTTCACCTGTCTCACTTGTTGTTTGTTCACTTGATGTTTGTTTGATTCATTCACCTCTCGTCTTGTCTACTTTCACATTACACTACTTACACTACCGACATCTCGGTACAACACTTGGTAGCGATTTCGGTTTGGTGTTGCTGGGCTCTCCCACGCACCACAATCCGCCCCTCCGGGCATCGACCCTTCTTTTCTCCACACGCAAACACACACGGACGCACGTTCACATCGTCCACGAGCGTGCTCGTCATCACACGCGTGTCTGTGCTCTCGCTTTGTTCTTTGTTGAAAGCACGTATTTGGTGTCGCGTCACCCTGTATCTTCGCGCGCGTCGCCCCACATACACACTCGTGTTGATCGTATCTTCTTCTTACGCCGGCTGTGTTGTGCTGTTGTTGCCCGCGTTTACTTTTCCTCTTGCTCACTGTTCCTTTTGTGAGCCAACGCGTTGTCTCTCACGCCTGTGGTTTTGGTCGCCTTGTATCTGGTGGTTCGTAGGTTTCGTTTGCGGCCGTCTTCTGTTTTGGCGCCAAAACTTGCTTCGAGTCCCTCAAACTCTGCTTGCTTCATAACGCTGCACGCACCTTCGTGCATTGCCTTGTCCATACTCTGTACTCCATCATGGAGCCAACGCCGCGTGTGCTACGCGACACTGCAGCACGGCAGGCACGACGAGCCGATGCCTCGCTGCGCGCCGAACAGGCGGCGCCTGACCGCACAGCGGACGTGTCCCGTGAACCAGTGGCTTCGCGCCGCTCTACGCTATCGCTTGACACACGCGCTCGTCCTAGCGACGCTGGCCCAATTCCCCTGCCAACGGACGAGCACGATTCTGATGGCGCAGGCTTCGTCTCGTCTTCTGTGCTGCACCAATCAGTTGGTGGGCACGCTCGTCAGCTGGCCCTCAAGGCTATCACCTACGTTTCCGAAGACACCGACGACCTCGCCGGTTGGCTGCGGCGCTTTCGCCGTGCAATGGGCATCGTTCGCGTGCCTGAAGAAGAGTGGGTTGACATGGCGTCCTTGTACATGACGGGCGCCCTTGGCGAATGGACAGTGAGCCGTGCGTTCAAGTCCTTCGACGACTTCGAGTCGTCTGCAATCGCCGCATTCGGTGACCCCAGCCAACAGTGGCGTGCGCGCCTGCAGCTAGCGGGAATCCGTCAGACTGGCAACATTGTCGGTTACATCCGCGCGTTCCGCAAGCTTGTGGCGACGGCCAGCATGCGTGGCAACGATGACCTGCTAGTCGCACTCTTCGTCAACGGCATTCGCCTTCCGTCCACCCGCCGCGAGCTCACAATTCGGCAGCCCGTCCTCCTCGAGGACGCCATCTCCATTGCCCTCGACTTGGGCGCTTCTGAGCAGTATGACCAGCGTGGTGGAACACGCAACAACGGCTCAAGTGCCCGACGTGACAGTGGGCGTCCAGCCTGGCGCAGTGACCGCCGTGACCCGCGATATCAGCGTGACCGACGCCCTCGTCGGCAGGACCGCCACACTCCTTCAAGCATCAACGTCGTGGAGGACGTGCAAGGCCTCAGCATCTGCAGTGTGGGCGCCCCAACGCAGCGGGCCACGGTGCGCGCAGTCGTCACTGGAGAACTGGACGGCGAGCCTCGTCGCATGCTGCTCGACACCGGCGCTGATGTTTCTTTCGCCTCACCACATCTGCTGCGTGATGCTACATCAGCCCTGACCCCTGTGTCGCTGCGCTATCCAAACGGCACCACCTTCGTGGCTCGTGACGCCGCTCATATGCCTGTCAAGGTCCCCGGCGTGCCTGCTGTTACAGCGACGCTGCTTGCTGCTCCATGCCCATCCGATGTCGATGCTGTGCTTGGTACTGATGTGCTAGCCCAGAACGACTGGGTACTCTCCTTTGTTGACGACACGGTCCGTGTGAGTAAAACATCGCAGCTCTGTTCTTCCTCAGCCACAACCCCCACAGTCAGCGCGTCACCTTCGCACGCATGCGTACAATGCCGTCCCGAGCCGCAACCTGCTCCAACTTCTGCATCACGTACGCCCTCCACCGACATCTCGGTCAAATGCGTTTCTGCTACAACTGTGGCTGCCTATGTGCGTCGGGACGAAGTTGAGGACGTATTCGTCGCGCTTGTGTCGGCGCAGCGCAGTGACCCGACACCCGCACAGCCGGACCACGAGCTGGACACCTTGCTTCACGAGTATGCGGATGTGTTCTCCAACGACCTGCCTCGTTCACTGCCCCCACGCCGCCCAGAAGACCTCCGCATCCGCCTTCAACCAGGAGCCAAAACGCCCCCCTACGTCCGCTACAAGCTAAGTCCCCCAGAGCGGGACGAGCTTTCTCGCCAGCTGAAAGATCTGCTGCGAAAGGGCTTCATCAGGCCGTCATCCAGCCCATTTGCAGCCCCTGTGCTCCTGGTCCGCAAAAAAGATGGCAGCATGCGGTTCTGCGTGGACTTCCGGCGCCTCAACCACATCAGCATCAAGGATCGTTATCCCTTACCAGATATGCTGTCTGTCTTGGCAAAATGCGCCGGCCACCGCCTGTATACGACACTGGACCTCTGTTCAGGATACCACCAGCTCCGAGTACACCCGCAAGATGAGGACACGACTGCCTTCGTTTGCGATGACGGCCAATTCGCCTGGCGAGTTATGCCATTTGGTATTGCTAACGGCCCACCTGTCTTCCAAAGGCTCATGGACCGTGTCACTGCCGACATCCCTGGAGTTCTTGTCTACCTCGACGACATCGTGGTCTTCTCCAACACGAAGCATCAGCACCTGCGCACCCTTCGCCGGGTGTTCCAGCGTCTCCGCGACGAACGGCTGGCTCTGAAGCCCAAAAAATGTGAATTCCTCAAGCCATCCCTTCTGTTTCTGGGACATGTGCTCTCCTGCCATGGCATATCCGTCGACCCAGACAAGGTTGACGCCGTCATGAAGCTCGCCAAGCCTTCATCCAAGACCGAACTGCTCAGCTTCCTTGGCACGGTGAACTACTACCGTCGCTTCCTACGCAACATGGAGGACATAGCAGCGCCCCTGCGGGAGCTTCAGGACCTCGCTGAATGGGGTGAGGCACACGAGCATGCTTTCAACGCTCTCAAGCAAGCCCTATGCAACGCGACGACACTTGCGCCTCCCGATCACAACGCCCCCTTTATCATCAGAGCAGACGCATCGGACAAGGGTATCGGCGCAGTTCTTGAGCAACACGGCCGTCCCGTCGAATTTATGTCCAAGAAGCTCACATCTGCTGAGGCTAACTACCCCATTCGCCAGCGTGAGCTACTGGCCATTGTGGTGGCCCTTCAGAAGTGGCGCCATTACTTCGGCTTCTCCACGGTTGAAGTCATCACCGATCACAAGTCTCTGTTGGACCTGCAAACACAGAGCAAGATTTCCGAGCGACGCATCCTCCGCTGGATGGAGACCCTCGCAGAGTTTTCCATCAAATGGACCTACACGCCCGGCGTTGACAATCATGTACCTGATACACTCAGCCGCCTCGTCGGATCTACCACCACTGCACTCGTGCCAACACAGCTTGGAACGAACTATGAGGCCGATTCAGCGTACAAGAAGCTTCTCGCGCGCCTGTCACCGCCTTTTCGGTTCGACGGCGACGTTCTTCTCTTCCACGACCGGCGATGTGTGGTGAAGAGCGATATCAAGGCAGTTCTACGCCACGCTCATGATGCCCACGGACACCCTGGCCTATTCAAGACGCTCGGGCACCTGTCCCGTCGTTTCTTCTGGCCAAGAATGTACTCTGATGCGGCGGAGTATATTCAGGGATGCCACACCTGCCTCATGTCCAAACCCGCCGTGCGGCCAACTGCGCCTCTGCAGCCACTCGACGTTCCACCGTACCCCTGGCACACGGTTACTTGCGACTTTGTGTCAGGCTTCCCCACCGTACGTGGCTTCGACACAATTGCGGTGTACGTCGACAAGCTTAGCAAGACTGTCCACCTCGCGCCCTGTTCGAAGACGCTCGATGCTGCTGGGGCGGCACGGCTGCTTGTTGACACTGTGGTGCGTCACCACGGAACACCATGCAGAATGATCTCGGACAGAGACCCACGCTTTGTCAGCAAGGTCTACAAGGAGGTCGCCAAAGCTCTCGGCATCAAACTCTCCTTCTCCACAGCCTCACATCCGCAAACGGACGGCCAGTCGGAAAGGAGTGTTCAGTCCGTTACCACACTACTTCGTTGCCTTGTGGCTGACAACCTGCGTCCATGGCCAGACCTACTCCCACTGGTTGAATTCTGCATCAATAGCAGTCCACACGCCGTGACAAAGGTGCCGCCCTTTCAGGCCACACAAGGATTCACGCCGTCGCTGTTTCCAGTTGACGTCGACTTCTTGTCTCCTGTAGCGGAGGATCTCATCGACAGCATCAACGCGACGGTGCAGAGATGCCGTGACATGCTCCAGTACCAGAATGCAGTGACGACGTCATCCCAGACAGCAACAGCTACGCCTTTTGCTGAAGGGGAAGACGTGTATGTCTCATCTGAGCTCCTCCTCGACGACCAGCACCGAAACAAAAAGCGGAAGCTTCGTCCGCGTTTCCTGGGTCCTGTGAAGATCAAGCGTGTGCTGGGTCCGGCACACGTTACTCTGCAACTACCGCCTGGCGTCCACATCCACCCGACCGTCAACATCAAACACCTGAAGAAACCCACACGCCTGCCACGCGATGTGTCTCGTCCACCGCCTTTGCATGGCAGTGACGTCTACGAGCTCGAGAGCATTCAGGGGCATCGAACTACACGGCGCGGCACTCAATACCTTTGCAAATGGAAGGGGTACCCCAGCACCGAGAATACGTACGAGCATCCAGACAACCTCCTGGGCAAGGATGCACGACTGCTGCTTGCGAACTACAAGCAGCAATTTACGCAGGGGGAGAGTGTTGTGTGAAATGCTGACTCAGCTTTCACACAACATACCCAACCACTTGCATGCATGCAATCTTACATCAACCTGCACGCATGCAAGATGGCTGCCACGTGTACTTGTTGTTCACCTGTCTCACTTGTTGTTCACCTGTCTCACTTGTTGTTTGTTCACTTGATGTTTGTTTGATTCATTCACCTCTCGTCTTGTCTACTTTCACATTACACTACTTACACTACCGACATCTCGGTACAACACATGCACACCCCATACAAACACTGTTTCACGCACCCAACATTCATGATACTGCCTTGTTCGCTCAGATCTGACCATCTGGACCAAACCGCTCTCCGAGGCGGGGATCACGCTCCCTGCCGGTCTGCTGCCCACAAACCCTGCTACATCGTGCAGTGCTGCCCTCGCTGCTGGCCTCACACGCAGCGACGCATACTTTCTTCGTGCCGGCGATGACGTGTTCCGTGGCTACTGCGACCAGACAACAGCTGGCGGCGGCTGGCTCAAGATCTTGCACGGTGCCGGTGCGGGATATGGCAGGTTGGTGCGCTGGGCTGGGATGGTCGTGTGTACTTGTCGTAGGCACCACGCTATTGCTAGCTTGCTTAATGGGCAGAACACTTGCATGCCCATGCCGTCATGCGAGGTGTCGTCACAAATCTCGAGGCTTCCCATAGCGGCAGTGCTGTAATGACTTTTACCACAGCTAGCGCCGCCGCCACCACCACCACCACCACCAACAACAACAACAACAACAACAACAACAACAACAACAACAACAACGACAGCAGCAGCAGCACATCACAGACAGCCAAATCGCCAGCCAGCACACCCCTCACGCTTTTCTTGTCACTGGTGGCTTTGGTTGTGGGTTGTAGTGCTTGGACGTCTGCCAATGCAGGCAGGGCCCTTGGCGATGTGAGTCAGGAGAGTGTGAGTGGCCTTGCTCGCCTCTCTGATAACACCATCAACGCCTATCTTGCAGCGCAAGCGCCGTATGTGTACCGGTGAGTCTGGTTCCGCAGTGCAAACATAACACAGTGACCTTGACGTATTGTCTGTCTGTGGCAAGATGGCA